TGTAAAAGTCCATCGGAATATGATCAAAAACGTTAAAAAACCATCTGACCTGACAAGCTTGATCCTTTTTCAAGTAAGCAAGTGAGAACGTAAATATACGCATAACTCACAGTAGATTGGGACTCAGCACTGTCAGTGGATAATCATCCTCGGAATATAAACATTTGAGAAATGCACACCAAGTAATCGTTTGAAATGGTGCACTGAGTTTGCTTCCACTATATGCTCCGGCAAACTGTTCCAGACATTTACCAATTGAGGTGTAGAGCACAGCAGATAGGAACCCCACAGATCTGATACCGCAAGCTTATGCTGTTGTCCGCGTATGCTGCAGAGTGTTTGCAAGCAGAACAGTGGTATCAGTATAAGGAAGTCACTTAGATGTACAATGCGGTAGGTCATGATGAGATCGACTCGCAAATGACGACAGGTTAGGCTCTCGCAGCTGTCCTTTTACGGTAAACCTCGCAAATTAGGGATGAGCCTGGCAGCGACGTGTTGGACACATTCAATCTTCTGCGCCTCACCTCGAGTGGTCGGACAACAGGTGAGCGAGACGTACTTCATTGGTCTGATGATGGAGGAAAAGAGGCGAGTGGCAACCTCTTCGGACCAGATGCATAAATTGCGTTTGAGTGCACAGATCATGCGCAGTCTGTTTCGGTGTAGCGTGTTTGTGCTGTCCACGGACTTCAGATCATAAGGTGACAGCACGACTAGGTCATTCACGGAAGGTCTGAGATATAGCAAGTGACCGTCAAGAGCGTAGGTTCGGCCGTCACTACCCTTCCCGAGGCTCATGAATACCGACTTGGATGGGTTGATGAAGAGGCGGACTTCTGCAGACCACATGGAATGGAGGTTACGGTCTTTCTAAAGTAGACCGCAGTCGTTGGAAGTGCTTATCACTCTTCAGATCGTCTGTAAACATAGCACACGGCGACAGAAGAAGCTGAGCTAGATGGTTGATAGAAATCAGTTACAATGTAGTCCCATTATCGTGCCTTGGGGTAAGCCACTGGTCAGATGGCCATCGCCTTGTACCCTCCACTTTCGTCCAGCGAGAAACTTGCGGATCTACTAGTGCAGTAGGCAGCCAAAACCGCACACTCTGAGCTTGAAAAGGAGGACCTCATGGTTCACCATGTCGAAAGCTTTGCTGAAATCAATGTAGATCACGTCGACAGACTTCCCCTGGTTCACGCTTTGTAACCATTCATGCCTCGTCACGAGCAGGTTGGTGATATATGAATAGCCTGGCATGAAACCGTGATATGTGAGCGTCAGGAGACCTTTTGACCAGAACAGTTATAGCAAATCCTTCTTCACACTCTTCTCGGCAACCTTGGTCGAAATAGGTATCAAATAAATTACTTTGTAGTCGTCTACCCTGCTGGGTTCACCGCCTTTCGGAATCGACCTTAGCACCAATCACGAACCGTCTGACAACGACCTGTTGCGCAGGTCAGTTAGGGCAATTGAGATGATGGCCGAAAAGGACTTTAGAATCAGTGGGTGAAGCCCCTCAGGCCCAGCATGCTCGGTGACATCAAGGCTAGCGAGTAGTTGACGCAAGTCTTCTACACCACAGTCCAGACTATCGAGTTCGTTCAGAGCGGTGCGCGTTGAACTCGGTACGGACACTTTGTCATCTGCAAACACAGAAGTAAAGTGCTCAGCCAAGGCAAACGCCGGCCCAGTTCTGGAGGTTAGGGCTGTCCGTCTAAGCCTTCCATCACCTGCAGATCGCCCGAAAGTTTCAGGCACAGCTTCAAGTACGCATTCTGTTCGGGGTGGTCTACGTGGTAGTTGCAAGATGTTCTTCGAAATGCCGGCGCTTCCCCGTTTCCGTACTGCCGCGAATATTTCGCTGCCTTTTATCACCATCAGCATCAGTGCATGTTAGCCAAAAGTAACAAACACCACAGCTATTGTGCTGCAATACAAAGAGACAAGATATGAAAGTAGATTTATGAAAAAGCATCGCTGAATAAAAAACAAAAACCAAAAACGGGTAATATAATGTTTGACATCACATTATGCCCCGAGTGTGAGATCGTGGTTGGGGGTGGAAGCTAAAAGAGGGGCATATAAACTCACAACACAAACGCCATTGAGGTCGTCTCTTCGCCATGTCAGCAAATGTATCCAACCAAACTTCCTTGGGACCACAGTCAGGCGGTCGGAGACACCAACCGACGCCAGCTTTGAAGTTGGGATTCTCAGTCCTATTGACTAAACTGTAGTCTGACCTACCTTTCTATTCTTCCATTCCCAACTCCGGCGCGCAAAAAAACGCGTTGCGGGAGTCAGTGTACTAGTAGGCGCAACACGTGACCCAGCCATCGGAGCCTGGTGCGTGGTATAACAGTACTGAGCGATTCACTCGCTCTTCCTATATCAAATACGAGACGCCGAACACACCTATTGCTCACGCGATGTTCGCACCAGACATGAATTAGACTGCAAAAGTAAAGATGTTCGAACGTAAGAAGCTTCTTTATACGGCTCACAATCGTCGACCGAGCCAGATAAAAGGAATTTGTCCCATAGTCCGCGCCAGCGCCAAGCCAGTTTTCCACATTCCTTGTCTGAGCAAATTGGCTTAACCAATCCGACTTTCTGACATTGAGGCAAAACCGGTTACACAATGAGTTTACTCCAGCCAGCTTCAACAGATGCAGGCTGCGACAGAAACGAATCCACTTAACTCGCTGCGGGAGTCAAACCGTCGAAGTCCATCTACCAGTAATTGTAAGCTGGTTTCGGTGCAAGGGAATGTTACGACGGCAGGTCCTTGTTGGCAATGAGAACTTGAATAGTCGCTTGCTATCAGGGGCTCCAGCATCTAGACGTCACAGTTTATGAACATCAAGTCTAGGCACGACGGAGTCGAGCGCGGTGTCACGCGCGTCGGTTAGCAGATGTATTGTGCGAACATTGTTCCGGTCTCAGAAAATTTGGTCGCAAATCGATTTTCAGGCCGACGTACTCGTGGACAATTGAAATCGTTCATGGGTAGAAAATGAGGGCGACTCATGTGGTTCAGGAGGTGCAGCAGCCGATCCCAACAGCGCATGGGACTGATAAAATGCAACCACGAGCAGCTCTCTGCGGCTGAGAAGGATCGAGCACCATAGCTGCTCACATAGACCATCTTCGCTTCGGTGGGCACTGACGAGTCTTCCCCACAGAAAAGACCGGATGTAGAGCAAAACGCTACCGTGAGAATTAGATGGCCTATCACAGCGGAAGCACGAGGAGCCACTAAACTCAAGTTCCTGGGTGAGTACTGTATTATTCAAGCACATTTCTGCGAGTCTCAGTACATCTGGTCGCTCAAAAGTAACGAAACGGCACAGCTCATCGCGCTTTATCATAAAATTACAAGTGTTGGTAAAGGCTACAAGCAGGGCGCGGAAGGAATTAGAGGGCGAACCTGAAGAGTGAGTGACCGATTTGCCGGAATTCGCGTTCGCGCTGTAATAACCCTATTTAAAAGACGTAGGTTTGTTTGTTGCTCACTGGTTTGGCGTTTTGGCTCAATGGTCGCACATATGAGGAGCTCTCTGTCAGATGGATCCATATCTGGACGAATATGCAGTATCTAGCCTCTCAGCCAAGATAGTATTAGCTTCGGGCTGGCCTCGTCGAGAAAAGTTACCCGCATATGTCGGTCTTTCTCACCATTGTCATTGTCGAGGTGGATGACTTGCCTCACCTCCACTTCGTCCTCACTCACATCGGGGAATCGACCGAGAAAACTCTGTGAAAACTCAACGTCGTGATCATGTGTGTCTGCCGACTTGGATCGATGAATTCAGGTGCGTAAAAAGCCATGCGATTGTATCACCTTTCCTCAGTCGAAGCGGTTCCTGTGGGAGGAGAGTGAGCTCAAGTTTTGCGCGACCTGCGTTGATGATCAAAATCGGGAAGTTTCTCCTTGTTTCGCGGCTTCTTTCGTGTCTCATGGCTCTTCAGTCAGTGAACATACATCTGGGTTTTTAGAGCTAGCAGAGCAAAAAGTCAGTGAACCATTAGTCGCAGTAGGTGTCGTGCTTGCGGAAAAATTAGGATGAGGAGGTAATGAATTGTCAGAGGAAGAAAAGGCTGGATTTGGCCTCGGATAAAATTTAAACCAGTTTGCGTGATTATGTGTCTGGAAGCGCTCATGATATATATCAGTAGATGTCATAGGTTTCGCCGGTTGCCTTCGGCCGCAACAATATCTGCACAAAATTTAATGAAACCATTTTGTATAGAGCGCAAGAGACGATAGGAATCGGCAGGTAAACCAACACATGAAAGCTAACATAGCAATCAAAGCACGTAAACGTATTCACTAAACGTACGGAACATAAGGGTGAACACCTCAGCATTTTGTGAAAATGGTGCAAAACAGTGCTAGGAAATCTAAGGAAAGATACCACGCAAAATATGAGCAAAAACGTACAGAAACTGAATGATTCCAAAATTTTACCGAAATAATTTCATGGTACGGATAAATCCAACAAAAAGAGATCCTGACAAATGCCATGGGACAAGCAACCGGACGCACCTAATCACGGCACCGGTACATGGGAATACCGGTGAATGCTGAGCAGAGTCCACAGATTTTCTTGGTAGCCAAGAGTACCGGCAAGATAACCATTTTCGAGAAATAGTGGGTTGTAGGTTAGAGTAGAAAGATGATGCAAGCAATCTGTTCGTTACCGTGCTCCGTTTCTGAGTGATTACAACCCAGCGTGTAAGACCTTTTAGTTTAGTTGGAGGAGGACAGTAACCCATGTTGTACGCAGTGGCAGACCAGGTAGAACGACCCTAACTAGTAACCTCTTGAAAAGAGCATCGCTCGATTGACATAAATAGTAAGTGGGACAAAGTTAAAATAAGATCTCTATGGAATTATAATAAAAACTACTTTAAGAGTATGAATGCAGTGCAGCAGAGCATCATCTAACCTCAAAGGCCACGTGAAGATAAGCATCGCGTATGGTTACCTGTTGAAAAGTCGACCGACAAGCTCCGAATGACAGGACAATGTGTGGAAAAGGCACGAGAAACCGAGGCAGATTACGGCTCCGATAAAGAAGGCAGAGAAAACCAGTTTGTCCTGCCACTGGACTAATGAAGAATCTTGAACCAAAATGTACACGAAAATCACTAAAAAACTGCCACAACCTGGAAAAAAGGGAAGCAACAACAGAGAGCCGTGAATGACCATAGTTTGAAGTTTAAACCGAAAGATGGAAAAATACACATTGCTGCATTACAGGCTCCTGTTGGGCTCATCGCACGGTACGTGGATGATGTCGTTAAGTAGACATTTAAAAGTAGATAGTTCATGAGTCCATTAGTAAAATCAGAAGGATGGTTATAAACGATAAGTAGGTTGGCAGCAAAGCATAGAGAAAATTTTTCAGTCCCTTGAAGCGGTAGTTTCGCAATGAGTTTCCTTATTTCATAACGACCGAGTGAATGGGATGGAAAAACCCATACTGGTGGCTATTTGAGTAAAAGACAGCTGTGACAATGCGATTGATCAAGCCATTTCGAATATAGCTGATTGGGATGTAAAGCATTCAGGTACAGGGAAAGGGAAATAAACCCTCAATATTCCCGGTGGGGGCGGCGATAATTCGCTGGCTTCATTTCGGTCTGTATCCAAATGTTTTAGGCGTCTGCCAACGAGTCGCCGCCGCGGTGCGCTTTAACCGCACGAGATTTCTGGTGTTCGCATAGTAGCGAAGCACCGATGCAAGGTACCGGCGCACTGCTGGCATCTGTTTGCCTGTCTGAAATGAAGTGTTGAGATATGGAAATATTTTGGTGTTGCACTTCCCAACACTGGCACACCACGAACGCGGTTTCGTCCTACTTTGGACTCATCAGATGGAGATAGTCTGAGCTGGAGTGGAACTCAGAGCCTATTGGTTCATGGCTGGGGCCAAATACAATATGCCACTGAGATCCGCGAGCAACGCTTGGCACAGTGGAAGTGAATTCAAAGTTGGAGTTGGAGAACCCGCTGTGTGGTTGGATTGCGATACGCAGCTCCCATTGAGACCTCAGTTATTCCGATCGCAAGGGCCGTGCCTCGCGGATCTCAGTAGTATAGTGCTCAGGACATCAGCCGTGAACCATTAGGCTCTGGGTTCCACTCCAGCTCAGGCTATCTCCTCCACCTGATGAGTCCAAAGTAGGACGAAACCACGTTCGTGGTATGCCAGTGTCGGGAGGAGTAACACCAAAATATTTCCATTTCGAATACGGTTATTGCGATGGGAATGACCAAGGTCTACATCGAAGTGAACCGAGGTCTCAATGGCAGTTACGTGTCGCAATCCAACCACACAGCGGGTTCTTTCAACTGTTGACACCCTTTAGCGGGTGGCATAAGGCCACTGCTCAAGCGCAGGCCGGTTAGTGTCGGTAAATAAAATGACGCAAGTCGTACACAACTTTGCACCTGCGACATATATCGTACCTAAGTGGCACAATGAAAATAAGAATGAAGAGCCGCTGCGGGCAAAAGGCTAGGAAAAATCTCGCAGGAGTTCAGCAGCGATTTGCATCAGTGCGCCACCGTAAGCAGGTCAACAATGCGCTTTATGAACTCAAGTAGAGTGGATATTCAGCTACAACACACACGTTAATGGCAAGATAAAAACAAATAAAAACATGACAAATGTATGCGGTGCGCCAACAATTTAAAAATGTGGCAGTGGCGATATCATCGACTCACAAAGGCAATAAGGTCTTGTTTGACTACATTTTGATCCCTCAGAAAACGTGACAAATGGGGAACAACTGACGCACCGTAAGCACGTGTGTGGGCATAAATGGATTTGTCTGGTCGAAAAAGTCGAGATACATTCCGACAATGCACGATGGAGAACATGACTGACATCATTGAGTATCATGGAAGCCAGTTTTTCGCAGGAGCGAACGTGATTACACAAAATGATGTCGACAAACACAAGCGTAGAAATTTCGCTGGATGGAGCAAGATGCTTCAGCGATCTGTTAATCGCGTTGAATTGGGAAATATCACAGGTTAGCAATACGTCCATTGCGGTATTACGCAAGCTATGAGAAACCGTAGAATCAAGTAACGAGGCACGGATGATGATCTAAGTCGGGAGACGTAGAAGGTTAGTCTCCTGACTTTAGTGAATGCTTCATTCACGTGAGGCGACTACAAGAGATCTCGACTAAGTGTAACTCCGAGATAATTCACTACTGTAAAGGAGCTTAGACTGACACTGTCGATAGTAAGATGCGGGGTGTGCGTCAGGAGCTGTGGGTAACAGTTTTCTTTGGCTAGCAAGAAGAGAACATCTTTACACTTTGATGTGGTAAATGAAAGACAGCGAAATTTGGACCAGGCGAGATTGTCCAAGAAGCATTGCAAGTTGGCCGATGAATTTGAAGTGTGACTGTGTACACCAACGATCACGTAACCAGGATGATGGCTTCTTTTGGAACGGGAATTGAGTTAATGTAGGTGGAAAATAGGAATGGAGGCAAAATAGCTCCTTGCATTTGCGCTGAGTGTGTGTGTGACCTCAGCAGTCTAACAACTAGACAAACAGCCAACAGAAAACCATGGAGATCAGAGAATAAGGGAGTCATCGCGTCATCAGCATCGTGGGGCATAGTAGTTAAAGGTGTGCAGCACACTTCAGCTAATATGCCGCAGGAAGAAATGAACATTTTGACAAAAAGTAGAACAACACATTTTTAGTTTGTCTTTCACACGCCGAAATTTTTCTTTGTTCTAATTCTCAAGGTTTGAAGTATTAAACGTGTGAATCAATACAATACTGTACACAATATTTCCATTGGTTCCAGTTGCGGGCCATGTCTTCAAGAGTTTGAAGCCATTCGCACTCCCCATCTTTGGGTCCTCATCCTGGAAGATATACGGGTCCAACAGCGGCTAGACACGACGTCAAGAATTTCCTGCGCCGCCGCCATGTAGAAGGTTGACCGCCACGCGGTAGCCTCCAGCCAGGTCCTTGGCGAGCTAATAGTACGCGACGCGGTAGACGCTCAGGTGCCATGCGTAGGACGTGACCGAGCCATTTCAACTGGCGTAACAAAACCAGTTTGTTGAACGGAATACTTGCATTCCCCAAGGTACGACGTCAAACGTCATTACTATTTACTCGATGTTGCCACCAAACACGAGCGATCATCCTTAAGCAACCGTTATCGAACGCAGAAAAACGATGCATGCCTTCCACGCGAGTCGGCCAGGACTCGCACCCATACAACAATACTGAACGAACTGATGCGCTGTAGACGCGGCCCTTTAGTGAGAATGAGACGTCGCGACGACGCTACAAGTGCCTCAGGTTCACAAATGCTGATCGAGCTTTAGCGATACGAAGAAACTTCTTTGTTGATAGTGCCGTCAATAGAAACACAGCTACCAAGGTAGACAAAACTATCTACCTGTTCAAGTTGTGCACCTTCGAGAGTAAGCACGGGAGCAGGTGAAAGCCAATCCTTCAGCAGTGCTTTACACTTCGATGGGGTGAAGCTTATGCCATCCTTAGATGCTTCAACCGCCAAACGATTCAGGATGTGTTGCATACCCTGAAAATCGTCACCAAGTAAGGCGATATCATCAGCATAATCTAAGTCGGTCGCGCGCGCACCCGGTAGTAGCTCTAAGCCAAAATGTTGGAAACCTTCTAGAGCATTCGACAGAACGTCTTCGATTGCGAAGTTGAAGAGGAATGGGGACATAGGGCAGCTCTGTCGCACACCGCTATTGACAGCGAATTGCGAGGAAAGCTTGTCATAGACCCTCACTCTGCCGGATGAATGAAGGTAAAGTGCTCTAAGATGGCGGTATATTTCCCTGTCACCGCGTTCTTTAGCAAGCAACGCCGTAAGTCAGGTCGACCAATGGAGTCAAAAGCGGCACATATGTCTAGGAATGCAATGATAGTGGGCCTGTGATAAACGTGTCTATGTTCAAGGAACTGGCGGAGCGTGAAGATTTGATCCACGCATCCGCGGCCAGGACGGAAATCAGTTTGTTCTTCACGGTAGAATGACTCACGTACTGGGGATAGCCTGCGAAGCAGAATGGATGCCAATAGCTTAGAGGCAACCGAAATAAGACTAATCCCGCGATGATTTGCACATGAGGTACGAGTGCCTTTCTTGAAAATTGGGACAATAACTGATTCGCACCAAGAGGAAGGCACTTTCTCTTCATGCCAAATTTTTGCGAACAGCGCGGTCAGCTGGTTAATGATCGCCACACCGCCGTACTTGAATAGCTCCGGAGGAAGTCCGTCTAAGCCGGCAGCCTTGAAGCGCTTCAAGCGTCGAATCTCGAGGCAGACTTCTGCTTCGCGGGTGGATTCAAGGGGACGAGCCAGGATGGACAACAAGATGTACTGCATGTACTGATGGATGGTGGAGGCCAGTTGAACTGGGAGTGAAAGTGCTCGGCCTAGCGGTCCAGACGCCTCTGTTGGTTGGTGATCGGAGACTCATCCACCTCACAAATGACCTCAATGACACCAGCCTTCCTGTGGCCAGTGGAGCGAATGAGTTGGAAAAGCCTGCCAGAGGGCAGCAGTCTGCATCTCTAAAGCACGCTCAGACCACCATGTCTCGCGATCCTTGCGTAGGCTTTGCTTGAGAGGCCGGTTGGCAGAACGGCGCCGCTCGTTGCCATCCGATTCCGCCGGGATACCTTTTCGGTGTTCGAACAGCTCCAGAGAACGAGTAGAGATCCAAGACTTCAAAGGGCGTCGAGTTAGACCGCAGCATGACTGTCCGGAAAGGGTCATCGCTTTCCGTATACAAGTCCAGTGTTGTTCCACTTCTTGCGGTGGACTGCAACTGAGTGCATATGCCAGTGAAGACTGATAGCTCGCCTGGACAGAGGAATCAGTTAATCTGTTTACATCAATCTTGCGGTGCTTCGTGTCTTGGGACCCCCAAAACACATACAGATTTTCGTGCAGACTAGTGCATGATCCGAGTCAACGAAGGCGGACCAAAAGGACCTGCAGTCCAGGACGCTGCCGCGCCATCGGAAGCTAATTGCAATGTGATCAATTTGAGAACACGCTTGTGTTGGCGAAGGGGGACGGCACGTTGCGGAACGCTTCTTCGTACGCCTGAAGCTAGTGCTCGAAAGAAACAAACGG